TCAATGGGATTTGCTTGGTTAAATAAAGGTTAATAAATAAATAAAATCTGGCTGACGTTGCACGTTTGTGGTGAGACGTATTGTGTCACTTCCTGTTTGTCTGTTGGTAGCTTGAGTGAATTGTTTGCTCGAGTTGTCTCTGTTTTCCAGATTTTTCTGTCTTTTGCACTGTTTTTCATTCTAGTTCACAAACACACTTAGTACAGTTGTTTTTCTACTGTTGGATAGTGCTTAAAACACCTTTTATCTTTCAACACTTCTCGGTTTTTATTTGTGTATTTGGCTCTGCTGGCTCTGCTAGCTCTTGCTAGCGTTAGTTTAGTATGGCTGCTGCTTCTCTCCCTGCTTCTTCTGTTCTCACTTGCTCCGTGTGTCAGATGTTTAGTTACTCCTCTGCCTCCTTTAGTGGTAATGATACATGTAACAAATGTAGTCTTATGGTAGCTTTGGAGGAGAGGCTGTCTGAACTGGAAGCTCGGCACCACACTGTAGAAAAACCAGTAGCTACCCAGGTCCCCTTAGACAGCGCAGAACCATAGAACCCGTTAGCGGTCCTCCAGCAGACCCCGAGCAGCCGGGACCCCAGGCCGGCTCGGTGACGGTCCGGAGCAAGCGTAGTGCTAATGCTAAACCCCCAGTTCACCACCGACCCATTCACGTTTCGAATCGATTTTTCTTAGTGACACACCCGCTGAGAAGCAGACCCTGGTTATTGGCAGCTCCATAGTCCGAAACATGGCTTTCGGAACTCTAGCGGCCACAGTCAAATGCATTCCGGGGGCCAGAGCGGGCGACATAGAATCTTATTTGAAAATGTTGACTAAGGCTAAATACGGTAATATTGTTATTCACGTCAGCGGTAATGACACCCGGTTACGCCAATCGGAGGTCACTAAAATTAATGTTGCTCTGGTGTGTGACTTTGTTAAAACCATGTTGGACTCCATAGTTTTCTCCGGCCCCCTCCCCAACCTGAACAGCGATGACATGTTTAGCCATATGTCGTTGTTTAACCGCTGGGTGTCCAGGTGGTGTTCTGACAACGACTTGGGCTACATAGATAACTGGAGTTCTTTCTGGGTAAAACCTGGTCTGATGCAGAGAGATGGCATCCATCCCACTTTGGACGGAGCCGCTCTTCTTTTTAGAAATATGGCAGATTTTATTTATCCCCCAAATTATTGACAACCCACACCTCTCTGCTGCTTCTCCTCTGTTCCCCACCCACACCCCATTGAAACAGTGTCAACTCGCCCACGGCTCAAATTAAATCAACCAAAAATCAGCTCTACAAATATAAACCATAAAAATCTGATTAAAATAAACACAGTTAGTTTACCAGAGTAAAATCATAAAATCATTAAATGTAGATTATTGAACATCAGATTCCTTTCCTCTAAATCCATGTTAAATTAACTGATAACTGATCATCATATTGAGCTTATCATAGCACAGAAACAGCACTAGTAAAAGTCACTAATGATATTCTCATGGCCTCAGACAATGACTTGTGACTTGTGTCTATACTGGTCCTGTTAGACCTCAGTGCTGCATTTGATACAGTTGATCATAATATTTTACTACAGAGGCTTGAATACGATATTGGGATCACAGGAACAGCTTTAAAATGGTTT